CGTCGCGCGTGGAGAATCACCGTACGGGACATAATTGAGGCCGACAAGATCAGTCATGATCGCAGCCGTAACAAGTACAAGTAAGTAAGTTAGTAAGGATTTACGATGGCTGCACCAGTGCGGCAGTTTTACAAAGAAAAAGTCGGCATAAATATCCCACGCCTGATTAGTATGAACTGCGCGTCAACATGTCCTCTCAGATAAGGAATGAAGGGGAGAGAAAAAATTACTTAGACAAATCAGCATCGATAATTAGAATAGGAATATAAAAAGACTATAATAACTACAGTCGGGGCCATATTCGAGTCCTTAAAGTCACTGGCTGAGACAGGCCCGAGGTCAGCAAACCTAACAAGAGACTTTGGGCTACGTTGCCCAATACCTTAAGTCAGATCATCACTCAAACAGCTTGCCAACTTCACTGGTCGGACCTGAGTAGAATGAAGAGCATCCATCCTGATACAGGACCAAGAAACACGCGTGAGGGATAACAAAGACAGCACACAAAATGAGAGATTGATGGCTGGCTGATCGACTAAGTAAAAAGCTAAATTCGATTGAAAACGGTTAAAAGTATTCACCTGAGTTCAATTTTTAACGAATACAAACTAGACCTAGTAAGAGAAACCAGTTAATCACCTCCTGTTTGTTATTTTGATACGTGAAGCAAAAAAAACATGTAGTTCCTACACGATGAACTTAAACGAAGCGGAGAATTTAAAAAAAAGTAGGGATACAGCAGAGGGTTCAATACCTCCGTTGCTAGAGCAGCCGCGATGACCGCGTTTGTGGAGGCCACGGCAGGAATAATCCTCTTGATTACGCCCTTTACCAACCGCAGAGTGACGCCCTCGATGCCGAACTGTTTAGCCCTCTCCAGGCACCGTTCGTACACCCAATTGAGGTGTTCGGGGATGTCGGCGTCAATTGCGACATCCGCTGGACGCGGAGGGGAGCAGAAAAAAATAGTGGATGATCAAACAGTTCATCTGCAAAAGTGAGAAAATGACATTACCGCCACCACTGCTACAACAATGAGGCATTGCTTTGAGATATCCTGTTGATATATAATACCGTCAGAGGATGAGAAAAACCCAAATGTGCATGCTTATCGAAGGAAAAAACTGGGTGACACAGATTGGCATAAACGGAGTCGGGGGATATTAAAGACGCATATTGAAGTACGTAGAGACCAGGGTACCGACAAAGGCAAAGAAGACTGGGATGGTCATTTCTAGCTCACAAATCGTTGTCAGAAAAACTTACTTAACGCCGGGTTTCGGGACATCCGAGGTTCGCCCTCGCGTTCATTAAGATGGCCTTAACGTTGGGCTACGGACTCGTCGGTTGCGATCGGACATAGGAAGGTCATTTAGCGATCGGGTGATTGGACCTTTTCACACCACTATGCCATAATGTTCATTGCAGAGTCCTCACAGGCAGTCGCATAGCGAAAAAGAATATATGCAAAAGCAATTTTCGACAAAGAGGAGATAGACTGGAATGACCATTTCAGGCCTATGAGCCGTCATCAGCCAAACAAGAGTAGGCGCAGATCCGTGTATTGATTAAGGTCCGCCGATCGCCAGGAGGAACTTACTCGTTCCGCTCTGCTTTGAGGCTCACTTTCGAGCCCCGTCAACAGCCGCACAACGGATAGTAGCTTTAGGCAGATGAACAATACCGACAAAGACAAGAGGGACTGAAATAGCCCCTCTTGACCCCTTAGCCGTCATCAGTCAGTCATACCTAACCTCAGGTGATGCATCACCCGAGATTCGAACCAGCGACCTGTTGACCAGAAGTCAA